CAACGCAGAGGATGTCCCAACAAAATGTACCACTAATGTAGTTTATAAAGAGGGTTTTCAAAATTTGTAATTTATAGATACTTTGCAATACTAAAAAAATATTATATTTCATTATATGTTGTATTTTTTCCTTTTATATTGATACCACTTTAAATTTACAACGTAATTGCAACCCGTGCAACGCACGGGTGTGATACTAGTTAGTTCTAGATGACAATGGAAATACTTGAAACCATACAAAAAATGTTGTATACTCTAAAGTCTTTCAGAAAATTTGGTATTAAAATAAACATTGTTAACTCTACATTCTGTTCCTCAAATATTAATTATTTTACTTTGGCTTTTTTCATTTGTAGTATTAAAAATCATGTGATGAGCAATATATTGTCTTTATTCCGAAAAATAAATTTCATTGAAATAATTCAGAATCGACATAAATTTCTTTCGAACCCGTGCATGGCACGGGTCAGAATACTAGTACCTATTAGTGTAGTACTATCAGTCCGTATATGATACAACTGGCGATATCATAGATAAAGTACAGCCGGATAGTACTTATTTTATACTACCTCCGTCCCAGAGTATTTGTCCACTTTCATTTTTGCACACCATCCAATGCACTTCTTTAATCCATTTTATCTTGTAATTTGTATATTAAAAATTATAGAAATTATATATTAATAATCTATATGTTAAGAAAAATCAAACAAGATCACACATGACTATATTTAGGCTTACACATTGAGAGAATTTGATGAGTCAAAGTGCTTAGATGAACAGTTCCAAAAGTCAAAAGTGGACAAAGAGAGTGGGACGGAGGGAGTAGTAAAGTAGTACAAACATAAGTGTTCATTACTTCATTTAAGAAAAAGATAGTACTCATTTTGAAATAACATAGTACTCATTTTCACACATTTGTTCAATATAATTATAATATCAATTTACTAATAACGTACTGTTTATTCTAAAACAAAGTGATACTCATTTTTAAATAAAGCAGTGTTCATTCTCAACAAACTTACCATTCATTCCACCTTTGCTAAGAATCTGAAATCAGAACCAATTTACAATTGCAACCCTTCTTCATCCTCATGTCTGAATCGCTGAAGTGCTGACCTTGAATTTTGATATCAACAACTTCCTAGAGTTGTAAAGTATTTGTCATCACCTTCACCTTTGCCACCACCTTCGCCACCTTCACAGCCATCGTCTTCACCGTCACCTTTGCTGATCAGGGGTTCGCTGCTCCTCGCGACCTTCGTTGATCTCTGCTCCTCACGATTTGCGCCTCTTTCGAATCACAACCGGGTGTACCCAGAGATAGGTACAACCGGTTGTACCATATAATGTGCGAGAACTATTAGTGTAGTAAATGTTCAATAGTATACTTTACACGATTTTGTTGTCTCGCCTTTACGACTTTTTTTAGTGCAGTTAACAGGGCTGTCCTGAGAACTTGATGGCCTGGGCCGAGATAGAAAAAGAGGCCCAATAGGTCTTATTCCTAATGTCTTAAGAAATTAAAGTTTATAAGCTAATTATATTTAAATGATAATTAATACAATAGTACAGTATAATACTATGTAACAAAATAAATAAATAAATGACATGCAAAATTATAGTAAAGGGTTTATATATACTTACCTTTTCAAACCAATGTCTTGAAAATTAAACCAGACATCGACTTGAAGGAACTAGTAGGTCAAGGGTTAACCGGTCAATTTGAGGTCAATGGCTTGGTTAACTATAATTAAAAGAATATTATTTTATATTATATACTTTCTTCTTCCGGAAATGTTCTTCTCGCGTTGACTTGACACGCTTATTAAAGAGTAGTAAAAAATGCTAAATTTTCATAAATGCACATACTATAAATTTTTAAATCGCCTTTTCTTATTAAAAAGCAATAAAAAAGTAGATTAGTGATAAAATAGAAGGGTATCATTGAAATTTATCCTTAAAAAGTATACTAAAAAAAGAAAATTGGAAGAATATTCTCGGACGGACCAAAAAAGAAAGAGGGAAGAACATTTTCGGACGGATGGAGTAATTAGATATTATATTTGTGTTTTTTCACTCTTCCATTTAAATTTCAACATTATTTTTCATATGTCGTCACAATTCTATATTCCTATTTGTATTATTTTTTATTACTATTAAAGATAAATGATGAGTATCTAATAAAATTAAAATAGTCAATTCTCATATTTTTAAAAAAATATGATAAATGATGAGTAATTAGTCAATTCTCATATTTCGCAATTCGTATGTAACACTTTACATTTATATTTAGTTAATTGGAACGAGAAAAAGAAGAAGAAAAAATTAAATTTCATATACTCAGGTATATTTACTAAATATTTCTTAATTTTAATTGATGACAAATTTTTTTATGTATTTTTTGTTTTGAGAAAAAATATTTTTTAGGTATAGGTATTTTTCTTAAATAAAACATAAATAGTTTTGTTTATTTATTTTTTGAACTATTTTTTTATGTTTATTAAACAAGTATATTAGATAATGCTTGCATTTCTTTTTTTAAATAATTAGATGTTTTATTAAAATCAATACGATAAATATATATCTTATTGTGTAACATGTACCAACAACTTAAATAGTTCAAGTGGATGAAGTAGCTCTTGACTCCTCAATTCTTGTGTTCAACTCTCGCTCTAGGCTATTGATCTTTTATTTTTATTGAAGTATATTATGTATATATATGAATAATATGAAAAATTGGGCCCCTTAAAATGTTGGGCCCGGTCTGGTTGGCCTCCTTGGCCCAAAGGCACGCGGAGTAAACTTTCTACCACTCAAGCCCGGGGAGAAATTCCCCGCTTTTACGACTTATTTGTATTTGCCCATTACTTTCAGCAGGTATTATGATTATGAGTGGACTTATGGAGTCCTTAGCTTCCCCAATATTAATACAATATTTTAATTATTTTATCATCAAGACTATAATCTATAACCCACAATCAAAGATGATGTTTGGAATTGTATTTGAAAATAGAATATTATTGTTTATTATCTTTTTATTATACTTTACACGATTTTGTTGTCTGGCCTATCATTTGCCTGAGCAGTGTTATGATTATGAGAGGACTTATGGAGTCCTTAGCTTCCACTTTTAAATCCGAGCTATGATAGGGTAATGTATTCAATTTTAGATTCCACTTTGCAAAATAGAATGTCCTGGAATATTAAACTATCCCCAATGCAAGTAGAGATCGAGGAGTTTTAATACAATATTTTAATTAGTTTATCATCAAGACTATAATCTATAATCCAAAATCAAAGATGATGTTTGGAATTGTATTTGAAAATAGAATATTATTATTTATTATCTCTTTATTATACTTTACACGATTTTGTTGTTTGACCTTTACAACTTATTTCAAGCATTTGCTTGAGCAGGTGTTATGATTATGAGAGCACTTATGAGTCCTTAGCTTCCACTTTTAAATCCGAGCTATGAGAGGGTAATGTATTCAATTTTAGATTCCACTTTGCAAAATAGAATGTCTCGGAATATTAAACTTTCCCCAATGCAAGTAGAGATCGAGGAGTTTTAATACAATATTTTAGTTATTTTATCATCAAGACTATAATCTATAACCCACAATCAAAGATGATGTTTGGAATTGTATTTAAAAATAGAATATTATTATTTATTATCTCTTTATTATACTTTACGCGATTTTGTTGTCTGGTCTTTACGACTTATTTCAAGCATTTGCCTGAGCAGGTGTTATGATTGTGGAAGGACTTGACTAATTTCTTTTTTTACTTTTATTGTATAACTCCTTCTAAATTGTAAACTTAAAATCTAAAACTAATCTTAAATTAGAAAAGTTCATTACGGAAATACTTCTGCTTATTACTTATTCTTATTATAATCACATCAATTCAGATAAGAGCAGATCAAATTCAATCAGACCAGATCAGATTAGAAATGACTTTAATTATTTATAATTGTAATCACATTAGATCAGTTCAGACTAGACCTAATTAGATCAGATCAAATCAAATCTTCAAAAAATTAGATCACATTAGATCAGGCGAACGGAACACAGAGTCTTTTATGCACTATACTAGAAAAAATTGTTCTCTTCGTAGTCCTCTACAAATGACTTATTATAAAATAGTTTCAAATATTCTTCCTCCGTCCCTATTTGTTTTGTATTTTATAAAATTCAAAAAAGAGATTTTTGTATTGACTTTCTAAAATTATATTTGATGTAAAGTCTAAAAGTAGGATGTGATAAGTAGATTATTAGTGAATATGTGATGGATAGAATAAGAATTAGTATGATTATTTTTAATATAAAGAAAAAAGAGATTGTAAGATAGAGAAGAAAAAGGAGAGAGTTTAGAAGTATAACAAAAAAATAATTTGGAATATGGACTTTATTCAGAAACATTCCTATTAAAAATGAGCCTGTTTGGAAACAGCGTTAGAGTTTAGAGTTAGAGTTTAGCTGTTAGCGGGAGTTAGTGAATAGCAATTTGATTTTTTATTGTTTGGTAATTGAGCACTTTTAAAACGTTAATAAGTTTCAAGTTACTAAAATACCCCAGAGTTTATTGAAACGACAATTGCTTCACTCTCGGTCTCGATCATATGCATATGACTACTCGGTATCCCTTTGAAAGGGCCATGAAGATCTTTCTTCCTCATGATCGAGTACTTATTACTCCCTCCGTCCCATAAAGTATTACCCATTTTGACTAAAGTTGAAATTAAGAGAGGGATAATTTTGTGTTGACTTTCCAAAAATACCCTTGATGGGATGGGTAAAAGTAAGATGTGATATGTAGATTATTAGGAAAAAAGTATGATGTGATAGGTAGGGTTTGAAAAAGTAAGGGGTAAAAGTGGTTTTTTAATAGAAATGGGTAAGGGATTGTGGGACACAATTTTTTTGAAACGTGTAAATCTTTTTGGGACGGAGGGAGTAATAAATTAATATGGAGTAAATTAAGATATAAAATTTGTAATATTTTCTAGTTGTTTATTACTACTGTTGTCGATACTCATCTGTATCATCGTTAATATCAAAAGAAACAAGTGAAATAAAAATAAAAACAAGCACACGATTCTTTTATCATACCATTCATGAGCAAATTAAAAAAAAGTGTTGCGTAACCCAACAAACTTCGAAAACATTCAGGAGAAGATACTAAATTGTTTTTTTAAGGGAAAGGTATTGAATTTCTTACTTGCTCTGATGATTCCTGGGCAACTCCCAAGACAAGCAAAGGTACCCTAGTTTTTTAGTGTCTAATTACAAGGAGATGCAAATAGGCACAGCGTGGAGCAATAATTTTCAAGGTTAAAATTGGGAAAAACTTTGAAAACGCCAAATTTCTTGATGAACGCTGGAGGGGAGGAGCATTGTGCGTTTAGCGTCTAGAGAGAATTGGATGAGGAATAAGTGAATAACGCTTCTCATTCTATCGGGAAACAAACACAAATTATTTTAGATCCACGTTTTACTGTGGAAAATCTAATTCCAAATGGACCCAATATAACTATACAAAATTAACTCTGGAGGTAATAAATTCCTCAAATCATGTCCGAGTTATTTCAGTCTCTTTTTCAAGTCTCTAGAGTATTCCTCTTTTTAAAGTTCTCGTATAATATATCAAACTAATATTTCACTCCCTCTTAAAATTAATTTCTCCATTTGACTTTTGTGGTTAAAGTTTTTAACTTTGACAGTATATTACAAAATAAATTTATTTTGAAACATGGTTTTAAAATATTTTATTTTTATAATATATATTTATACATAAATATAGATATTAAATTAGTAATTATCAAATTGTTATATTGGAGACTTTAGAAAGTCAAAATGTCAAATGATAAGTAATTTTAGAGCGGATGGAATAAAAGAAATGCGGAACAGGACATTTATAGACAAGAGAAGTAAGAAAAATCCCATTCATTTCGAATGTATGCATTTCCGAATTAACATATGCAACTCTTTTAATTAATTAACTTTATACTATCAGAAGCAACAAAATTGTGTTTGGGGGTGGGGGAAGAATGGAAGATGATACAAGGAAGTGTTTGAAATAAGACTAAATTAAAGTATGAAAAAAAAAACTACCTGACCAAATTAAACCTGACTAAAACCACTAATGTTTTCTTCTGTGGGTTTTCTCTTTTTGTGTTCTCCAAACGTGGTGCAACTCTTGGTGGCATTATGGCCCCTTATAATTTTAGCCCTCACGTGTAGAGGCAATCTTAATGTAAACCTATCCTCATCTTCCCTAATCTTAACTATTGAATGCCCTGTTGAATGTGACCTTGGGTACTTCTCTTCCCCACTCTTTTCATCCTCACCATCATCATCATTATTCTCCGCATTTTCATGATTTAACGTTACAACGTGTTTCGTTAGTGAAATATTTTCACGTTGATCACTTCTATTCTCCACACCGACTCTTTTAGCCTCGTCTTCTTCTTCTTCTGCTTCCGCTCCTTCATTATTTCCTACGCCCTCCCCTTCGCGATCATTTATATCGATAATGCTATGCATGTCACACGCCATGCGCTCGTCTTCTTGGAAATTCTCATCTGGAGCATTCCCAAGAGACAGCGCTGGCGATGAGTATGTGGTGAACTTTACGGGAGAGTCGAGGGCTTGCCGACAGACGGGGCAAGTCTTGTGGGATTCCATCCACAGATCAATGCACTCTTGGTGGAATACATGGTTGCACGAGGTGAGGAGACGCAAAACGCTCTCGTCCTCAAACTCGACCAGACAAATCGCGCATTCCAACCCGTACTTCTCCTTCCGGTAATCCTTCACGCTCGAGTAGCTGAACGTCGGGAAGGACTCGACGATCTTCGGGTCGATCCCGGGCATGTCCCCGTGACCTTCTGGACCAACCGGAGATCCGGCCTGGACCCGGTTGTGCCACAAGCTCTGGATGCAATACTTGCAAAAGATCACAAAGAAAATACCCAAGAAAAAGAAGACAAGGAGGAAAGCTATTAGGAGGAGAGTGACAGACGGCGGAGATACATATTGTGAAGGTGGCGGAGCGGCCTTCATAGACATTGGCCGGGAAAAAAAGAGCCAATTGGGGTTGAACCGACGATCTTTCCTTCGCCGGAGATGGGAGAATATCTAATTTAATATGGGAATCAATTGAATGAAAATGTGCGAAATTAAAACACGTTATATATTTTTACATGTGAAATCCTAAAGTTTATGATGAGTGAGAGTGTTTCATGAGAACGAGTGACGCAAACTCAAAAGAAAGAGAGGCATGGCTAACTTTGCAAGCATAACAAAGTAATGTGGTTGAGTCAGTTTCTTGGTGTGTGGCCAAGAGAAAAACATGGCAGGTTGCGTTAATGGCCTCAACGCCTTTCTTTCCTTTGATTAGTGTTCAAAAAAAACTTTTTTTTGGAGAGTACAAGTACATTAGTGTGCAGGGTAAGTTTTTTTATTATGTGGTCTGAGTTACTATTTTTCTAATTAATTGATCATTGACCTATAAAATATCCTACGTATTTAATTGATAATTATTTGATGGACGTAATCATCTTTACAGCCTAATTAGGGTTTCCCCTTGGATGTATATACAGTGGTGGACCTAGGGGGGCCCGGTGGTGTCAACCGACACCACTGAAATTTTTTTAAAACAATATTTGGTATTGACAACAATTTTTTATATAATTAATAATAATAATACTTTTTACCCCATAATTGTGTTATTTTGAATCATTTGAATGTTCGAGGAAAATTTATTATTCTGTATTTTTTGTTGTTTCTCATTGTGTTTAAAAAACATGGTTATCTACCACTATAATGTGTATTAACTTCAATATTTTCTATTGATATCATTTTTTATCATTTTTCTAATTAATAATAATGTCATATATATAATAATGTTATTTTAATTATTTATTATTTCTTATTGTGTTTGTAAAAGAAATCTGGAGACGCTACCTCTAAACTCTCGTCACATGCCCACACAATCTGCCTAAGAAGTTCTGGCATCTTTACTCTTGACACAACTCATTTGAGTGTGATATCCCACTGTGTATATATAGAGAGGTCATTAGGTAGTGATTATCACACCAATCATACGCCTACCTTCTGCTTATCTATTCTGGTAAGTCTAATCCTCACCTTACTAAAAGAAAAATGTCTTATAGTGTGTGTACAAATCGTAGTTAAGGTAAAGAATACTCTCATTAAAGAATTTTAATGAGAGGAAATATACTCTCATCACCCGTCACTATATGTAGCGCCTTAAAATATGACCTAAAATTTATTATAAAAGGAAAGTAGTTTTGAGTATCATTTTGGCCCAATAAGAAATATTTATACGTTTGACCAAAAATGAATGGATTTTCAAAATAATGACTTTTTGTTAAAAACTTATTTTTATGGATATGTCTTGAAGAGACGAATCCAATGATACATTTTATGAACCAAACTGATTTATAAATTTCAAGATATGACGATTTTAAAATATTAAAATTTGTAACTTTGACCCATAAATTAAACTCAATTCAAAAGAGATTTCATAAGATTAGAAATCTTAATTTTTGACACTTGACAACATCATATTAATCATTTGGATTTAATTCATATATTTTTATCTCATTCATATTATTAAATTAATTTATCACTGGGACAGACCCAGACATTAAAAAAAATAAAAGTTCTCAAAAAAAATATTTTGATTATGTCAAAATTCTAGTTTTGACTGTTTCATTCCAAAAACGCAATTCGTTTTCAATTCGGAGCAATTTGGGGGAAAAAGCGCGTACCATTTAAAATAAATTGTTCAGTTTTGGCTAAAAGCCAAAAACTTAATTCTCAAATCTCTTCCAAATCTCCGTAGCCTACCTCCAATTTAACCACTAGCCACCTCAATCCTCCCAAATTTCCTATCCTACACTAAAAACCAAAAGCAAAAGAAAAATTAAAGCTACACTATAATATACACCATCATCCTTAGCATCATCATCATCTTCCTCCACCATCCAACATCATCCATCATTTCTCCTCCTCACCACACACTCTCTCTCTGTCGGCAATCAAAGAGGAGAAAACACAGTAGCAATACTCCATTTTTGTGCTAAGGAAGAAGAAGAAGAAGCAAGGAAACCATTCAAGTGTCCGAAATCCTGAAACCAAACACAGCAGCCCACTTCTAGGTAAAAACTAAAATTTTCCATTCATTATTTCGAAAAGCTTTCTATACCAAAGTTGTAGCCCCGGACGATACCAATCCAGCCCACAAAAGGTTCGTGATTTCGTTAAGTAACGAAGAAGATATGGCCAAAATACCGAGACTGTGACAGTGGTGGCGAGCTCCTGGGGTTGGACCATTTTCTTCACCAAATTCATATTGTTTCATTCCAAACACTCACCATAAACTCTCTAACGATTATTAGGAACATCTAGAAGGTATCGTAGAGAAGGTTCGATGTTGGAATATTGAAGATTGATGAGATGATCGTCGGATTTGTTGGTCATCGAAATACCAAGATCCTGGTAGCACATATCCATCCACTTCTAAGCTATTTTAGACCTGTTTAAGTTCATTATTTTGATATAGTTTCTTCACGAAAGTTATAGCCTTACATCTTAGGAATCCACAGGTTTACAATTTCGTGAAGAAACGATGGAGATATGCCTAAAATACGGCAGGCTGTCAAATTGTGACGGGAATGACAAAGTTGGTGAATTTTGATGTTGCTTTCACTACCGCTCGTTCGTAAGGTTTCGGCCAATGATTTCTAGGTCTGTACCCTTGCGTTAGACTTGTTGAATCATTCATCACATACATACATGAACATATATATTAATTCATATGTTGAAATCATCCCAAAATATATATGATACATATATGAGTCATCCATGTATTGAGATCAAAATGCACCAAATTCATAAAGTTAATAAATATACATAAAAAAATATAAATATTAGAAATCAACCCAACAACATGTATATGTTAATCAAAGGTGTTTAAAAAACTTAAAGAAGTATTTTAGACACCCAAAAATATCAAAAATAAGATTCGCAGACCCGAACGATTGACGTAAATGGTCAACCATTGTGTTAAACTTCGAAACGGACCACGACTGTCAGCAAAACGGTCGACCGCCGCTAGCCCAGCCGAAGACCGTCATCTCCAGCCAGTCAACAACGGTCGACCGCCGGTCAACCGCGGTCAACCGTCACGGTGAACCGAAATCCGACAAAATGAGATAGATCACGGTCGACCGCCGTGCCAAACGGTCGACCGTTCTGAGCCCCATAGCTTACTTAAATGATATTTTAATCATGTTTCATCCAAATAAATTAATGCATGATTATATATTCATATTGTTTGCAAATTGTTCATATCATACCATTCATTTCATCATTCATATTGAAGCATATCACACTATATGCATGCATAAGAGATCATGCCTCGTGCGTCTCTTATAGCGTGATTGTGCGGGACTTAGTAGCCCGATATCACACGTTCGGGCTTAGCGTACGTACATGGTATTCAGGCTTTCGAGTACCACCCTCATATTGTTTCTAGTCTCACCTCATTCGTGAGACGAAGGTGGCGTGAGTTCGTCGTACAACCTGGGCAAATCTCATAGCGCAAGGGTCGTCCTTGCACGTTAGGTTCATGCATCATGTTATCATCATCAAGTACAATTATATTGATTACATAGGTGTCATGTAATCATCATCAAGAACAATTATATTGATTATATAGGTGTCATGTAATCATCATCAGGAACAATTATATTGATTACATAGGTGTCATGGAATTATCATCAAGAACAATCAAATTGATTAAATGTGCCATCATGTAATTATCATTAAATATTTATCATCATGAATCATCAAATTGATCATATGAAATAATGTGCCATATCACGAATATTATTATACATTTTGTGGACGTATATATATGCATATGTATATGTCTGTGAATTATTCTACAATTCTACAATTCGATCGTTTGGATTTCCTGCCCAGTCAGCATCTGTGTAGGCTTGAATATCTAAGTGACCATGTTTTTTAAATGTAACTCCCATATTAATGGTCCCCTTAAGATATCTTACAATTCGGATAACCGCATCCCAGTTTTCCTTCTGTGGTTTGTGCATGAACTGACTTACCACACTGACAGCATATGCAATATCAGGTCTTGTGAGTGCGAGGTATATAAGTCTGCCTACAAGTCTTCGGTACTTATCTTGATCAGCTTGTATCCCTCCCACACTAATTTGAAGTCCGTGGTTAACCATCATCAGAGTGACAGCCAGTTTGCAATCCATTAATCCAGTTTCAACTAAAAGATCAATGATATACTTCTTTTGACAAATAAAGATCTCCTCTTGAGATTTGAGAACTTCAATGCAAATGAAAAAGTTAAGTTCTCCAAGATCCTTCATGTCAAATTCCTGGAATAGCTTGCCTTTTAGTATAGCCATCTCTTCTGTGTCACTGCCAGTAATTATCATGTCATCCACATATATGATCAAACATGTTATGAGCTTGCCTCGTCTTTTTAGAAACAAGGTATGATCAGAGTTGCTTTGACGATATCCATATTTCTTCATGGCTATCGTGAATCTGCCAAACCATGCACGTGGAGATTGTTTTAGACCATACAAAGCTTTTCGCAATCTACAACCTTCGCCTATTCTGAAATCTGATGAGAACCCAGGTGGTGCTTCCATGTAAACCTCATCTTTTAGTTCTCCATGGAGAAAAGCATTCTTCACATCAAACTGATATAAGGGCCAATCTAGATTAGCCGCTACGGAGAATAATACTCGGATAGTATCAATTTTGACTACTGGTGAGAAAGTCTTAGAGTAGTCAATACCATAAGTTTGAGTATATCTTTTAGCTACTAATCTGGCCTTATATCTCTCGATTGTACCATCTGCTTTGTGTTTGACTGTAAATATCCATCGGCATCCGACTCGTTTCTTTCCTCGTAAGAGTTGACATTTCTCCCATGTGTTGTTTTTCTCTAGTGCCTTCATCTCCTCCTCCATTGCTTTTCTCCATTCTGGTATTTGTATGGCTTCGTCTACTGTTCTAGGGACTTCATGGCTGGATGTGTGAAGAGCCTGTGATACACCCCCCTGACTAGATTAGCAACATGATATCTTGAGTTTCGAGGGATGTATTCTGGTTCATATCTGACTGGAGGAATTCCCCGATTTTTCCGTGGTGGGAGACCATATCTGTTTGATATATTCAATTCTTCCACAGTATCATTAGATTTATCACTGCAATAATCAGAAGTGGGAGAAATACTAATCTCAGGAGTCTTTTCAGACGGAGTAGAATCAGACATGAGTTCTGAGTTGTTGGACTGTACAATGTTCTCAAAAGATGATCCCACAAAGCGACTTACTTCCTAGGTTGGGCCAGTTTCAGGTGGCAAGACTGGCCTGTGTAACCACTCTAGAGAGTCATTCGTAACTTTCTCCCCGTGACTACTAGAGTGGTTATGGAAATAATACTCAGTTTCCAAAAAATTACAATCCATTGTCGTGTACATCCGTCGAGAAATAGGATCATAGCATCTGTATCCCTTTTTGTGAACCCCATACCCAACAAAGACACATTGGATAGCACAAGGATCAAATTTTGACCATTTGGCTTTTGGAATATGTACATATACAGTGCAACCAAACACATGAGGAGTGAGAGTCAAGGAGGTAGGAAGAGTGGAAAATTTTGCAATTGTATCGATGGGTGTTTTGTGATTTAGGATTTTTGTCGGAAGGTGATTTATGAGGTAAATGGTAGTTGCAATTGCTTCAGGCCAGTAATAAATCGGAACATTGGACTCAATCATAAGAGCTCTAGTGATTTCGAGTATGATCTGATTCTTACGTTTAGCAATGCCATTTTGTTGAGGGGTATCAAGACAAGTGGTTTGATGGATAAGACCTTTTTCCTTACAGAAATTTTCCATGGGATGATTTATGTATTCTCCTCCATTATCAAATCAAAGAATACATATCTGTTTTTGGTATTGTGTGTGGATTAATTTGTAGAATGAGGTGAACTTTTCAAAAACTTCAAATTTGTGTTTAAGAAAGTACACCGAGGTCATACGGGTGCAGTCATCAACAAACAATAAAAAATATTGATACCCATTTGGACTCGGTTCTGGAGATGGACCCCACGCATCAGAATGGATTAATGAGAAAGGTTGTGATGCAACTGTGTTATTTAATAGATAGGAATGTTTATGACTTTTGGCTAGAATACAACTGTTGCAATGAAACTGACATGATTTATTGAATAATTTTGGAAAGAGAATTTTGAGATACCCCCAAGATGGATGTCCCAAACGACGATGCCACAGCCATGCCTGCTTGTCCACTGTCCCATGAGCAAGTGTAGCTGTTCCGTAGTGTTCAACTTCATCAACATAGTACAGGCCATGACGCTCAAAACCACGCCCAATGATCTTCCCCGTCCGAATATCCTGTAATAAGCAAAAAGTGGGGTGTATTAGGACTGTGCAATTTAATTGTTTTTTGACATGGCTTATTGACAGCAATTTATGAGACAATGTGGGAACATATAAGCAGTTGTCAAGACGGATAGATGAAGAGATAGATATTAGACCGGTGCCCTCGACACAAGAATAATCCCCATTGGCTGTTTGAATATGGACTTTTTTTGACCAATTTAGGGAATTAAAATCGGAACGGTCGTAAGACATCGTGTCAGTTGCCCCACAATAAAAAATCCATTGAGTATTTTTAATTGGGTTTGCGTTGAGCCAAATTTCGGATCCTGGTGGGCTTGAGGGAAGAATATTTAATAAATTCTCTCCCCCTCTCTTCTCTTTTTCACCACTAACCCTACTGTTAGGCGTGTTGTAGTGCCTACAAATTAATTCTTTTTTCTTATCCCCTTTTTAATTTAAAACTTATATTTCATAACTAGGGTAAGTAAGAGTCGATCCCACGGGGAAAGATATTCTTTAGTTTTGAAAATCACTTCCTTAAGTTTACATTTTTTTCCATTTAAAAAAGAGTAAATTCCATAAAAGGTCCCCAGTTATAGCTCGTTTTACATATTTAGTCCCTACATATCAAATATTACTAATTTAGTCCCCAATTATTATATTCATTTCCACGAACGGTCCTTTGTTAATATTTCCGTTAAGAACGTGGATAAAAATTATAAATTCACACTCCTCTCTCTACTCAAATCAAGCTTTTTTCCTCCTCTCGTGCTCTTTCCCAAACTCGTTGCTGAGTTTGAAGCTCTAAACCCAAAACTGAAATAATCATTCCTCTCTCAATTATTAGTCTTTCTAGTGGAACCTAAAATCAAAACCAATAAGTTTTATGGATGAGTTTTATCAGTTAGTCGCAAGAAATCGCAAAGAAAATAAACATAAAAACTCATCGATGAACGTTACTGGTTACGAATTTGGGTTCCACCAGTTAGACAAACAATTGTGAGAAGAGTGATGATTTCGGTTTTGGGTTCAAAGCTTCAAACTCAGCGACGGGTTTGGGAAATAAGTGCGAGGGGAAGGAGGAAGCTTAATTGGTAGAGAAAGGAGTGCGAATTTACAATTTTATCCACGTTCTTAACAGAAATGTTAACAAAGGACCATTCGTGGAAATGAATATAATAATTGAGGACTAAATTAGTAATATTTGATATGTAGGGACTAAATATGTAAAACGACCTATAGCTGGGAATCTTTTAGAGAATTTACTCTTTAAAAAATAACTAATAAAAGAGCTAACTATTGGAGGGGTTTAATGGATAAATTGGAAAGATAAAGATAAATAAAAATGATAAAATGGGAAAAGAAAACACAACCAGAGCAGCAACTCGAAACTTGAAAGGAGACACATAAGGAACACACCGACACAAAGCAAACACTTAAACTTTATAAAAACTTAAACAATAATGATTAACTTAAACTGATTTTGAAAATACTTTCTAGTTTTGATAAACCAATTGATCAAACCCAGATTCTCAAATTAATTAGAACTACTCCAAATTAAAACGATTGACAAAACTCTTGGGTTAAGTTGAAGAAGAAATCCACCTGCGGTTCTCCCCTATTCTTCCTAGTATAGTCTAGGTTAAGACCTGCCCTAAGTCTAGACCCTATTATTTTTAACAACCTAAGGACATGCCCCAAGATTTAATTAAAAATAGAGCATTTAGTTTAATGGAAAACATCACTTAACAACTATGCAGTAGACTATATCTATTTAACATAGCCAGTTTGAAAACTCCAATTAATAAAAACCGGGTGAGAGCCAATTAAGTATTAATCGGGTGACACTTGTGTTTTGAAAATCTCAGCTATTAACGTATTTAAGACATCAAAACTATCAATTTGGAATTAAATTTTAGGTGGCCATTCTAAATTGATCTAACCCAAGCATAAACAAAATCAGTTTTCAAACCAATCGCTAGCACTAAGGCTTAGAACATCCCGAAGCCATACTACTCAAGAAGGAGTTGAATCAAACATTCAAACTTATTGAGGAACAAAAGAGTTTCGGAAGTTTCAATTATTTTAGAGGCCAATTAACCAAAAATATAGGTTTGAACAATAAGAATCAACATTCATAATAACAACACATACTGACAACTTAAACCATCATTCGTAGGGACAAATTGAACCAAAAACAATGAAATTTAAAGAGAATTTGACTTGTCCAAATTAAACCTACTGCCATTTTAGAAAGGCAAAGCAATTTAAACTAACAAATAACTCTTCCGTACATAACTAGTGTCGAGTTGACACTCTAAAAAAAACAGAGTAAATTTAATGCATCAAGGAAGAATTGGGGGAACTGGACCGAAGTCCAGACCCCCGTAGGATAGTACCCTCTCAGGTTCCTTTGCCGCTGCTATCTGCGTGTGTTCTCGTCCCCTCCTCTCCTCGCGGCTGCGTTGAGATGCCTTTATAGGGCCTGGATTCTTTGCTTCCCTTCTTGAATTAGGACTCAAAAGCTGAGTCCAAGTCTTCTACGTACTCGCACAAGTAAAATCGAAGTAGGAGTCTTAAGTGCTTTGTAGCTGCAGAATGGATTATGGGTCAAGTCCCAGGTGACTGGGCCCTTTTAACTTCTCCATCTAATTCTTGATAGCCCCCGGGATCACCGAGCCCTTTAATGCTCCGTAAAACGATTTTTAAAACCTACATTAAGGTAATGAGATAATAAAAATAGTGAAGTAAAAGAATAAACAAAAGAATGCATTTTATGAGTAAAATATAACTAAAGGCCTAAATTGCTATATAAACATAATACTGATCAAATGTGTATAAAATGCATTTGGAATATACTAAAACGGGCTAATATGGGCGAATAAAATATGACATTTGAAGACTTATCACCTACCTGCCTCTTTCTTTCCGCCGCCAGTAGCTTCCTCTCTCTCTCTGCAGCGAGCTTCTCCCATGGCGACACCGGCGAAAAACTCAGGCAACTGGTCGGCAGTGGTGCTGGTGGTCCCTGGATTGCCCATCGCTGCCCCAGCGACCCCGGACGGTACTGGTGGTTTCTTCTCTCTTTTCCGACTATCCGGCCACCATTCCGGATATCCAATCCGCTTAAAGCACCCATAGGCCGTGTGTTTCACTCCGCCGCAGTAGGTACACTTTAAGTGCGATTTGTCTTCATAGGTGCGAGATGACGATTGGTGATTTTCCGATCGCACCGCCACTCACGTGTGGCCGCAAGGCCACTGCCAATACCTGAGGGAGTCTCTCCGGATGATGGCCCACCCCCTTCTCTTTTCATGATGCCTTTTCTTGCTACCTCCCTTCGGATTTGGGCATACGCCTCTTCTACCGACGGGAGTGGATCTGTTTTGAGTATATCTTGTTTTTCAGCATCAAACTCATCATTTATTTCCTGTAGAAATTGATATAGACGATTTTGTTGTTGAATTTGTGTGAAAACCGTCATATCTTCTAGGCATTTCATTGGGTTGGGTCGACGCTTGTCAATTTTTTTCCAAACGGCTTGTAGTTGGATGTAAATCTTTTCCAGGGACTGTTCACCTTGTTTGATTTTGCTGGCCTTAACCATTAGGTCGTAGATTTGAAGGGGATCCTTTCCGGTTTCGATTCCCTTCCATATATCTCAGGCAGTAGGATAATCGATATATTGATTTACAATATTCGATTCTATATTTTCCAATATCCAAGTTATCACCGTTGAATCTGCTTGCCTCGACTTGATATATTTGGAATCATCGGTTTTGAGAGGTGCGGTAGTGATGTGCTTGAGCCGACCTCTCCCGTCTAGAGCCAAGCTCATCTTGCGCGCCCAAATGGCGTAGTTCTTATTGTTGAGTTTTTCCGCCAAATTTAATGGCTGATTAGAGAAGCTCTCGGTAAGTTCGGCCTTGGGTGCTAAACTCTGGAAATTTTGGAGAATTTCCAAAATTTTTGTAAGATTGACGGGCTGTTTCATCAGATCAGACTCCCCTGTGTAGGTGGAGCTCTCTGGTGTTTGATCGGACATTTTTTTATGGTAGATGATGAACGCTGCATTTCATTCAATCATTTGATCGAATGATGGCTTTGATACCATATTTGAAATAATGATAGAATGAATTCACAGCCTTAATTGTTCATCTTATTGAATACATGACTCTTGATGTCTATAAATATTACAAAGTACATAAAGAGGACAATTAAGGAAAGTGATTGGAACTTAATCAAATATCTTGATTGGTAATTTGATTCCAATCAAGGATATTATCCTAATCATCAAGATATTACAATCAATTCCTTTGTTTGACACTATTCCTTTGTTTGACATTTCTAACGCTAAAACGTAACAACGGCTACTAACTTCAAAGTCTTGCCCACCCCACTTCTTCATGCGTTCTGTTGTCTGCTCAACCTCACTAGTCCAATTGGTTTTGTAAAGAACAATCAAGAGGAGTATAGTCTGCAAGCCAGTCCCTGCTATCATTCCTCCCCAAAGTCCAACGACTCCAAATTTAGCGACATAACCGAGAACGAAACCCAATGGGAGCCCAAATATGTAATGGGAACCCAAGTTTATATAAGCAACAAGAGCTTGCCATCCTCCTCACACTGCAACACCTGAAATGACAGGCTAGACACTGTTGCGAATCATGGTGATTCCAAGGATGCCAGCAAGGTGAGCCACAGCTTGCTGCATATCTTTGCTGTCTGTGAATATGATGGCTACATATATAGTCTCGGGCGGCTAACACAACCACCATGCAAAGTAACCCAATTAGGAGTGACTAGAAAACCGTGACATATACTGAGTATTTGGTCGCTCTCGGATGTCCTAGCCCGAGCTCATTGGAGACCCTAACACTAATTGCATCATTGATTCCAATGAACAACATTGCTTCCCACCCGTTCACATTCATGCAGATGGAAAGGGAGCCAACAGCGATAACAGCATTGTCCAGATGACCACTGAGTATGATAATGCTCATCATATACCTGTTCTCTAGGCAGAGCATTACAGCCGAAGCAAATGAGAGCCTAACAAAGACCCAAATCTCATTAAAAGCAGCCTAAGACAACCCCTTCCACCCATCCTTACACCACCCTACAACATAAACCAGCTGGGAAATCGCAATGGCCCAATTGGAAAGATCAAATGCTAAAGCTGCTCCTGTCGTGCCCCAGCCCAGCAAAGGGATGAATACCCAAAGCAGAAACACGTTAGATACCAAGCCCAGAAACCCAATCCAGGCGAGCACGTTGACCTTACTCTGGGCCTGAAGGAATTTTTGGGTGGGGAAAGTAATTGATAGGGAGAACAGTTGAGGGATGATAAGGACAGCGTAGTCCCTAGCAAGAACAGCAATTTCATCTTCTTGTCCCAGCAACCTGAGAACTGGAGTTGCAAACAGGTATATGGGCAGAAGGACAATGCAAGTGATAAAGAGGATGATCACTGAGCGTTGCATATAAATCCCAAGCATGTGGACTTGACCCGCGGCAAATGACTGCCCACATAGCGTCTCTAATGCACTCCCCATGCCAAGCATAAATCTGAAAGAGAAAGTGCCAATAACGGACTGGGCGATGGAGATGGAGGAGAGCTCAATATCTCCGAGATGGTCGATGAATATGTTGGTGGCGGACAGGGGCGGACCCAGAAAATATGTTTAGTGGGTTCATAAAAATTTAAAGAGATACATAATAAAGAAGACTAAATGTATTTAATATCAACTCATACAAATCTGTGTTACTTCAATTCTCCTTCTGAAACTAATAATTTAGTATCAATTACAAAATGAATTAAGAAATAAAAGAAGACATAATATATTCTTAAGAAAACTCCAAAGTATAATCTAATTATCCCAAGGGAGATTAAGGTGCAAAAATCATAATTTGTTAAAAAATCAAAACAAAGTGCAAAAAAACTCCAAAATGCCTTACTACCTCCAAAATATCAAGGATGCAAAAAAAAAATTCACTACACACTGCCACTGCCCACAAATTAAACCCAAAGTACCTAAGGTGCATAAAACTCCAGAGTATCAAAGGTGAGAAAATTTCCAAAGTATAATTTTAATTATGTAAGGGATATAAATCATATAATATTCTAATTAGTATAAATCTAATTATTTAAAGTGCCTTACAGCCCTTAGTTAAAGTGCCAGCCACATCCTCCAGTCGGCGAGTCTTCCGCTGTCTTCCCGCACGCTGCCGCAAACAAAATAAAGAAAAATTTGTAACATGGAATTTGAGATTATCTAATTTGAGATGGGAGGGTTTGAATTGGGTCCTGTGAGGCTGTGATTCCGTCCAAGGGATAAGGTGGCTGGGTGAATTTTTTTATTATACCCAAAACGACGTCGTTTCGAGTATAAAATTTATAAAAAAAAATTTTAGGAGTTCGATGTATTGTATTTTTTTAAGATCTAGTCTGTTCCCTTTTACTACTACGGGAATTTTTAGTTTAATCAAAATTCTTCACCACCCCGAAGGTTGAAACCAAAACTTACACAACAGACAAAATACAATACATCGAATCCAAGAAAATAAAAGATAGGAAAAACTTACACAACATCATGTGAATGTTGTTGCAATTGACTTCCCCCCAAGCGCAAATATCTGAATTCCTTGTTACGGTATTTCCACTTCCTTGTTACGGTATTTTCAATTCCACAAATTCATGTTGCTCTTAATGTTATAGATTTTATTGTTGGTATTCAGGTCTTCGTTACCGAATGAAATTGCAGAATATTGCTTCCAAATACACCAAGCAATAACTCATGGCATCACCAATTTCATGTTCCCACGAAGTGTATGGGTTTATGATCTGAGGTGCCATTCTAAAATGTGTTGCTTGATGGTTGTAGCAGGTCTGATTCTAGGTCCCTCAATTATATCTGCTATTTCATCCCAAATATATCTGATCTTACCACATTGAAGAATGCAGTGGTCTATTGTGGCTTCATTCTTCTTGCAAAAGGGGCACTAAGAGGGCAGGCTATAGCTCATTCTAGAGAGAACATCAGGGAAAGGTAATATGTCATTATTCAGCTTCCATAGAAACAATTTAACTCTTGGGATTTGCAAGTTATTCCAACATAACTTGTCCGAAATTGCCATGATATTATGCGGTCTACAGCTTTCATAAGCATGCTTTAACTTAATCTTCACCACCTCATCATCCTGTGGTAGCATATCTCCCATAGATTCCCCCCTTATCATGTGAATTCTGCATAGTCTTTTCCTGGCTGGTGAGTCTGTCATTTTTTCATCAAAGTTGTTAGCCCCATATTTATTTCTCATGAAAGAGGCCAAGTTAGAATCTGAGTATCTATAGTTCCACCATAATTTAATGGAATAAGCTTCATGAAGATCCTCCAAATCTCTGATTCCCAGCCCCCCTTCTGAGGTAGGTTTGCTGATGTCTTTCCACCCTTTCCAATGATATTTATGCTTCCCATCTCTTTGTCCCCATAAGAAGTTACTAATCATCCTCTGTAGAGAGTTAATAATTGAAGTAGGGAGAGAGTGAACAGCTTGAATATGTAGAGGGATGGAAGATAAAACATGTTTTATCAAAATAACCCTCCCCATAGGATTCAGGGCCTTGCTATACCAAGTGTCAATGTATTTCTGAAAGTGTCTTATCAAATCACCACATTCAGCTTTTATGAGTATACCCTTACAAATAGGAGCACCTAGGTACTTGAAAGGTATCTTGCTACATCTCATTCCTAAAAGTTGCTCCAAAGTATAGATCCTGCTTTGTTTAATACTTTTTCCATAATAGAATCTGCTTTTCCCAAGGTTTATCTCTTGACCTGATGCATTCATATAACTCTTTAGAAGAATATTGACCTTCAGCAGATTCCTTGTATCACCATTGCAAAAAATTATGATGTCATCTGCATAAGCCAAGTGACTTATAAGATAGTCCCTCCCTGTATTGTAGTTGACAATCTTGGATGAGGCCATATTTTGTTTAAGCATCCAGGAAAGTCCTTCTCCTGCTATAATGAAAAGCAATGGAGATAGAGGATCCCCCTGTTTCACCCCCCTTTTCATAGTGAAAAACCCTGAGGACTCCCATTGACCATAGCAGAGATGAATGTGCTTCTCAAATTGGCTAAGAGAAGTTTTTGATTGTGATCACTGAAACCTAGTTTATCCAACACGCCTAGAATGTAATGCCATTCATATTATCAAAAGCCTTAGCCATATCAAGCTTTATGATGACATTTCCCCCTCTGATCTTAGCATCAATTTTGTGAACCATTTCTTCAACTAGGAGTATCTGCTCATCCACCCCCATACCTTTTTGAAAGCCAGTTTGCTCTTTCGAAATAATCTTGGGTAAAATCATCTGAAGCCTGTCTGCAAGGATTCTAGTATTAATCTTACTCATGAATGTAGATAATGATATAGGTCTGTAGTCCCCAAACCTTTTAGGACTGTCATTTTTAGGGATTAAAGTGATGAAAGTGCTTCCATAACTCTTGGGGACTAGAACTCCAACAAAAAACTCTTGTGTTGCACGTACTACATCATCTTTGATTATATGCCAGCAAGCCCTGAAGAAGGAGCCATTAAACCCATCAGGTCCAGGAGCACTGTTGGGGTTCAAACTCCATACAGCTTCTTTGATTTCCTCTTCATTTGGTACCTTGCTGATATTGATATTGTCCTGGTGGTTGATAGGTTTGTCCAAGTAATGTAGAACTGGCTCCATATCTACATCTTTGGAGTTGTTGTAGAGCTTGGAGTAGTAGTTTATAGCCATTTGTTTAATAATTGCCATATCTTTGTGTTCTTTCCCCTTTTCATCCTTTATGCTTCTGATTTGATGATTAGATCTTCTGGCTTTGACATAGGAGTGAAAGAATTTGGAACAACAGTCCCCCTCTTCCATCCACTTCAGGTTAGCTTTCTGTTTCCAAAAGCTTAGATCATTCTCTGTAGCCCTTATCAACTGAGCCTTTGCCTTCTTATCCAATTCCCTATTTTTTGGTGTTGGGTCCTTCTCAAATTGTTCTTGAGCCTTAATTGCTGTTTCCTCGGCTTCCTTTAGTTTATTAACCACATTACCAAAAGTCTTTATGTTCCACTCTTTGATGTGTCTCTTTAGCCCATGCAATTTGAATGCTAGACCAGCCATACCCCCATGATGAATGCTACTAACCCAGCGATCAGAGACCATCTTGAGGAAAGAGTGGTGATTTAACCATGCATTCAAGAACCTAAAAGGTTTAGGACCTGCTTGTCTTCCTTTCTTGCATTGAAGTAGAATAGGCTTGTGGTCTGATGATGCTCTACTAAGATGAGAAATACTGATATCCTCATAGTCTTCTATCATCCGGTCACTGACCAGAGCCCTGTCCAGCCTCCTCATAACTCTACCATTGCTTCTAACCCCAGACCATGTGAATAAAGACCCAATAGTGTGAGGTGTGGAGAGCCCACAAGTTTCTAGGCAGTCCCTGAACTCCTCCATGTCAGATTGTAAGGGGGGATGCTTTCCACAGTATTCTGAGCAATCAGAAATGATGTTGAAGTCTCCTCCCACTATCCATTTGGTTTGAGGGGTGATTTTGATTAAACCATCCCAAAGTTCTCTCCTTTCCTTGCCATTGTGCTTTCCATATACTGTGGTTATAGCAATAGTATCCTCAATAGTGTTGTCAAGGAAGTTACAGTGCACTTATTGGCCCTCCTCCATCTTGTCAATCAAAGTTAGAATTTCCTCCGTCCAGAACAATCAAATTTTGTTGTTAGCAGTAACAATGTACTTGTTGAGGCCTAGATCCATCCCATATTTGCCAATATTTGCCAATCTGGGTACCAGATACTATAGGTTCAATAATAGCAATGAAATTAATATTATGTTGTTTCTTTATAGCTTTGATCCTTTTGAGAGAGGATCGAACTCCACAGACATTCCAAAATAGCACTATCATTAAAGGCTGATGTGTTTGAACTCTTTATACCCTTTATGACTTCTTGTGACAATAGTTAATGGAGGACCCTGCTCTTTAAGTTTATTTTTCCTCATCCTTGGGACTGATAATGGTGTTGCATTAGATGCAGTGATTTGGAAGTTCCTAGCCTCCAGTTTGGATCTGTCCATGACCTCGTTGCAACCATCATTGTCGGAGTGTCTTCCTGTCTCTACCATTGTGTCTGCTTCAGTTTGATGGCTGGTGAGATTCATAACTTCAACTAGCATAGCTAAACCCTTCTCTGGTGAGTGATGGTTAAGACAGTCATCAAAGGAGACTCTTCTACTTCTTTTTGAGAAAAATGTATCCCCTCCCCTAATTTTTGAGACCTTAGCTTGTGCTCCAGTGGTTCTATAAAAGTAATCCTTTGCCTCTTTAAGGGATGGAAATAAAGATGAGTCCCCCATCATTTCTGAGTTTTTCTTTGAGAAGTCCAATACTTGATTAAGAGATGCCTCATATTCATAATTAGACATAATTGTTGAATTATTAGTGTAACACCTGCCTTCCGCGGACCCGGTTCGCCCGCGACCCAACAGACCGGTAGGGTTACATCGGCGGTCCGAGAACCGTCCGTAGCGAAAAACATTAATGCTTATTGATTATGAAAACGGTTGTGTTTAGTTGGTGAATTAAATGCTAGGAGTTATATCCAAAACGTGAGTGATATAAAATGCAGAGTAAAAGCGGAAGTAAATAAATAAGTAAAACGACAAATGGTGGGTTCATGCCCAAATGATTAATTAATTAAATGTATTTAATTATTGAACTTGTCCATGCGCCGCCCATCTTCCCACCATCACTGTCCTCCAGGGTTAGCACCCGTACCGTCATGTCTACCTGCATGTAGCAAAAACAACTACACGCTCAGCATAAGCTGAGGAATGAATCTAACAAAAGAACATAAAGTGATAACCCATATAGCTATACACATATTAATACCTGTACTTAACGTACGGAAAAACCACATGGTTACCAACTGATTAATTTGCACTTGATGAGATATTTTACACATAACAAAATGAATAACAACCACATTGAATGATGGTGTGATGTGGAACATACATGATGATGACGACCACCTTGAATGTTGACGTGACATGAAACATACGTGATGACAATATGACTTGATGCATGACTTAAGCTATTAGGGACACCCCTGACTTAGTCTCACTTGACAGGATCACCCCTGCACTCCGGTAATGACCCGGGCTTGACAAAACGTCGCAAGTGAACTAGCAAAAACCGGGTGGTAGCCGTAGCCTGACTACCATGTACGTACACAAAGCCCACCTGATGAAAACCCGTTGGATCCCAAAGGTTCCTGGACGGGCCCACTGTAGTAGGCGCACGAAAGCCTGACCTCCCTACAGCGGTATGCACATGATGATGATCCTAGTACATGTGTCTAGAATGAACATGATGAATGCTTGATGTATTTACTTTTGGTCAACGCCATGAATATATCAAATAAATAACATACATAATGAAGATTAACATTTCGTGCAAATATACAATCAGGTTCTGAGTCAATATGGTCTACAGGGATCGTTCTACAACTGCCTGGAATTCTGCCCGCGGAACGGTCGATCGTACCCTACCGGCGGTCGACCGTGGGCTATGGTCTGGGGTCTGGGTCACAGACGGTCCACCGGGGTCTTCCGTCATGGATGACGGTCGACCGTCCCGGCGGTGACCGTTGGACTGGCCGAGGGTACGGTCCACCGTCTGAAGTAACGGTCGACCGTCCCGGTGACAGTCTTCTGTCCTTGGCTACGTTTTGATCCATTTTGCAACCTTAACACCTTGATTCTTTTTAGAACAATAATACAAACATTGATGAATATATTCCTAGTGATTCATAGGCCAATATTTATAAGTTTTACGTAGTGAACGTTTTGATGGCTAACCTACGAACATGCATAGATTCTCCGTAGGTTGCGTACGATATTGCTATGAATATAACGACATAGATTATAACTAAATGTTCTAGAATTAGAGGGACAACTACTCACCTCTAAATGATGGGGTTGATGAAACGGAAACGAGATGAACGTTTGACAATGAACGGACGAGTGTATGAACGAACGAACGGCTTCTTGCGTGAACCTCTCCTCTTCTACCTCCTCGTATACTCGTCGGAATTCCCCCTTGTCTACCTACTGCTGGTTGGCCGAGAATGCAAGCGAAGGAGGATGAGGGTTGTGTGTGTGTGGGAGTTACAAATGTGGTGGAAAATGAAGAGGGGAAGGAGGAATATATTGAAAGGGAATTAAAGGGAGTTTAATGGGAAATAATTGAAATGAAATGATGGGGTTTAAGGGGGATGGAAGTGGCGTGGGAAATGAAGAGTTAAGTGGGGAATTAATTCCCTAAATTCTACTCCGTTATGTAAAATCTGACCTGAACGGTACGCCGTTTCCCCCCCGAACGGGTCCGAATTGAAAACTGTTTACGTTTTTGGAATCAGACAGTCAAAACAAATTTAATGACGTGTTCAAATAATATTTCTAAGAACTTTTATTTTCCCCAACTCTGGACCGGAACAGTAATTAATTAATTAAAACAACCAATTCTAATAGACCGGGTTGTAGGGCGTTACAATTATCCACCCCTTAAGAAAAATTTCGTCCTCGAAATTTACCTAGTCATTGATCACCATGATTACGTCATGTGCGAACTACTCAGTGCGTCCGCGCTTTGCGTTTGTGCGAGCTGAAGCCTCTCCAGACTGAGCGCTCAGCGTCGGCCTATTGGGCTGGCTGGACACTGCTACCGATCTTTGGCTCTGAGTGGGCTGGGCGGCTGGGCTGGAGCTTCGGGTGCTGTCGTAAACGCCTCGCCAGGGTTCGTCGGGCAGTCCCTACGGAAATGCCCGGCTTGACCACATCCTAGGCATAAGCCCTGAGTAAACCAACATTCTCCGGGGTGCCTTCGACCGCAATGGGTGCAGATCGAGTAGCGGTACCCGCTCTGACTCGGGTCCTTCCCGCTCTCCTGTGTCGGCACTGCTGACGGGGCATGTGTTGACTTGGTCTTCTTGCTTGTGTGCGAGCTGCTTGGCACGTTTTAATGACGTGTTCAAATAATATTTCTAAGAACTTTTATTTTCCCCAACTCTGGACCGGAACAGTAATTAATTAATTAAAACAACCAATTCTAATAGACCGGGTTGTAGGGCGTTACAATTAGGACCTACCAGGCTTGGAGTGCAGTCCATTAGGTTCAGAATATTGAACCTATTGTTTTGGCCTATAGTGGGACAGTTTTTACGCGGGTAAACTTTTATTTAATGACGTGTTCAAATAATATTTCTAAGAACTTTTATTTTCCCCAACTCTAGACCGGAACAGTAATTAATTAATTAAAACAACCAATTCTAATAGACCGGGTTGTAGGGCGTTACAATTAGGACCTACCAGGCTTGGAGTGCAGTCCATTAGGTTCAGAATATTGAACCTATTGTTTTGGTCTATAGTGGGTTTCTTTTTCCATTCAAATTTTGATGGGCCCTTTACTGTCTGATTTCTTTCCTCTTGGGGGTTATGTGTGTGTGTGTGTGTGTCTATATATATATATATATATATATATATATATATATATATATATATATATATATATATATATATATATATATATATATATATAAGCCCGAAAACTCCACCAAAGTCAGTGGGGTAAGGTCCAGGCCGCCCTTACCAATATCATTAAAGTCGAGTAAGTACACGTTCGGGGAGGACTAGACCAGAGCCCCGAAAGTAAGAAAGAATATGAGTTCGGGGAGGACTATACCGAAGCCCCGAAAGCAAAAGCCAAAAACAACAAAATAAGAAGTAAAGGTAGATGAGACAAAAGAGGAAGGAATTCTTCTATCCCTCTGCGTCAACTTCTAACCCCACATCTCGTTCGATCAGTTGAAGAAGAGACTAACAGGCGTGTCTTCTTTCTTTGCAATGTTCTCTGGCAAGGTAGGGTTTGAGGTTCAATGCTTCAATCTCTTCCTTAATAGCAATGGCCTGAGCTTTTTTGTTCGACCAAAACCAGTGTTGAATTAGTTTTTGGATTTCAATGATAATCCCCACTTTTGTTGGTTTGTGATCCTCATGAATGCATCTATTGTAAGTCTTCCATAAGATCCATAGTATACATCCAGGAAGGATTAGCTTGAGTAGACCACGGAGAGATGTTTTTTTAAAAGTGACCCACCATTGTAGAAGGTAATCCCTTAGCTCTGTTTCTTGATTCCAAACTGGTCCTCCGATGTAGTCTGCAAAGGCTTTCCAGATGCTTTGTGCCATCTCACATGTAAGTAGCGTGTGTTTATCCGTAGCTTCAGCCTTGCCACATAATAAGCACTTACTAGGCAGGTTAAAATTCAGTTTGTTGAGAATATTGGGAAAAGGGAGAAATTGGTTCAAAGCTTTCCAAGTGAAAAGCTTAACCTTAGGAATCTGGAATTTGTTCCAGTTAAGGGTGAAAAGCTGTTCACTGATATTCCTTTCCCTTACTGCCCAGTAAGCCTCTTTGAAG